AGAAGAGCTCCCTTACTTTATGAAACCTGATGAAAATCTGCTTTTTCCTTGGGAATCCAAAAGAGTAAATACAATAAAATTTGAGTACTTACCAGCAAGACAAGCAAGAACAAAGAGCAGTAAAACAACATCTGTAGAAATAAAGCTTCTGCCAAATTAAAAGGGATAACTCTGGAAAAGGAATTCTGGGAAAAGTTCAGCCTTGCATTGGGAAGATGTAAAATAAGGCCTCTACAAAAAATAATTATTGTCATAAATAGAATCAGTCAAAATTAATGTTTATGCTTCATGATAATTTCTGCGTGCTTCTTAAGCTTTTTCCTTTGTTCCAGTTTGAAAAATGTGAGTACAATCTCAGCAGTCAGTCTTACTGTTACTTTTTGGTGTGTATGGATTTTTTTTCATCCTTTCAGTTCTTCTAACCCAGTAGGATTGCTGCTGTCAATTTTGCTGCGTAACAGTAAATTTGATGGAATTATTGGACTTTCTGTGAGTCACATCTTGAAGCAGCAGTTCCAGGGCCTCAAGGTTCCATGTGTGGCTGGATCTGACTCTTGGCAAAGTCTGGTTAGGTCAAGGGATCTTGATTCTCTATAGTGTTTGTTCAGGAGGGTTGTCATGGAGATACAGCGTCCGAAAACGCCAGTCCCATCCTTCACGTGACTGCAGTCTATATGGACAAGCTGCCCACAGCAATGGCCGTGAGGGCTGAGCTGGCAGGAAGCCAGGCAACTTGTGAAAATGCTTTAGCATGTTTGCACTTGACATTTGGGTTGTTTAAATGGAGTATCAGTGCATGAATGCTCAGCTGTTTCCAAGTCTGCATCCATTTTATATAAAAATAGCATCGGAGGGTGGTGGGGGGTGACTTTGGTGAGGTAACATCTTCACTTCTGTAATATTACAGCACAGTAATGAATGTATGAGAACCAAGTGAAAAGAGTAACACAGGCTGGTGCAGGTTGTTAGCCAGGAGCATTCCTTCCACTACCTCTTTTCCCAAAGGAAAAAAAGCTTAAACTTTCTTCATGGGTTAAGTTTTGACTGTTTTATCTCATCTATACAGATTTCAAAGGAGGCAGGAGTTCTCTGTGACTAACTGGCTGTGCTGGTTTTGGCTGGGGCAGAGCTGACTTTCTTCACAGTAACTAATACAGGGATGTGTTTTGGATTTGTGAGGAACACAGGGTTGATAATATGGAGATGGTTTTGGTATTGCTGAGAAGAGCTTGCCCAGAGCCAAGGCCTTTACTGCTTTCTGTACTGCCACACTGGCAAGAAAGTTGGGAGTGCATGGGAGATTGGGAGGAGACACAGCTGGAACAGGTGACCCAAACTGACTAAAGACATATTCCATACCAGATGACATCATGCTCAGTATGTAAAGTGAGAGGAAGAAGGACGAAGGGGAGGACGTTTGGAGTGATGGCATTTGTCTTCCCAAGTCACCGTTACACATGATGGGGCCCTGCTGTTCTGGAGGTACTGAACACCTCCTGCCCATGGGAAGCAGTGAATTAATTCCTTGTTTTGCTTTGCTTCTGTGTGCAGCTTTTGCTTTGCCTATTAAACTGTCTTTAACTCAACCCATGAGTTTTCTAGCTTTTAACATTCCAATTCTCTCATCCTGCTGGTGGGGGAGTGAGTGGGTGGCTGCATTGGCCTTGGCTGCTGACTGGGGTTAAACCACAACACTGGCACATGTCAAGAGTGTGATTATGAACTGGGCTTTAAGGAACTATCATGAAGAACATATAAAAAGCAGCATTATTGGTAAGAAAATCAATGCTGAATGTGTAGCAGCTAGAAAAATCAGCTCTGATAATATTTGTTCATTCTGTTTAACATCAGCATGTGCAATATTGCTTTATATGGCTGGTCAATAAGATGCACGAGCCTGCAAATTCCTGGCTTCAGAGTACCACCATGTTCTGAGCTGAAGATCTGTGACAACTGGAGAGTGAGGGAGTCCAAAAGAAATCTGTGCAGTATTTATCTTGTTTTAACTGCCTACCTGCTTCATTCCTATAGGTAAAGAGCACAGAAGATCTGTTCATCAGCTCAGCTCTAGCAGACTGAACCTCCTGTGATGATAATTAACTCCTAAATGTTGCAGTTTCTTTGAAATACACTTCCAATTCTTTGAGGAAATATTTCTTTCAGAATAAACCTGTCTTTACCTTATTTATTATATTCTGAAGCACACCCTGAAATGTAACACTGAACATGAATTTCTGTTTGACTGGTTTAATGGAAATAATTTCTTCATCAAGCATTTACTTTCAGAGTGAAAGCTTATCTTTTTACTTTTTATCTGTCTTGTCAATCACTGCTTTTTATAAAAAAATGTTTTTAAAACATTTTTTAAAAAAGTTTTCCTGCTGGCCCCACTGGAGGTGTCACATACCTCTAAAAAGCATGTAATCCTAAAAAATGTAGAACAAAATTCCTATTTTTCAAACCAGTCAGCTAGTAATCAGTTGATCTGGCAAAAATATTGCATGAATTTTTTTTTGGAAAAACTGTTCAACTGATACACAGCACTTTAGTGCAAGTTTGCTGAAAAAGTCAGAACTAATGCCAGATTATAATTTTTTCTGATTTGATATTTCATACCATAGATCCATAGAACAATTCAGGCCAGAAGGAATCTCAGAAGGTCATCTCATCCATCTTCCTGTTCAAAGCAGGTATGAGATCAGGTATGAGATCAGGTTGATGGGGACTTTATGCACTCTTAAAAACCTCCAAAGATTTTAACACAACTGCATAAGCTCCCTGGGCCATCCTTTCTTACACTTGACTGTCCTCATGATGAAAAGGTTTTTCCTAATATCTTGCTGAGACCCCTCTTTTCTCAGTTTATGTCCATTGTCCCTCCTTTCTCTGCTGGGCTGGGGCTTGTGTAACTGAGAGCTGCAGCAAATAAACCCTTGAATTTCTCGTCAGTACATCTGGGTGCATTAGGGAGGACAATTGCAATATCCTTCAGGGTCTAAGGCAGTGACTCTAAATGAAATTTTTCTGCTCTCTATGTGCTGAATTAAAAGATGAAAACTCATCTGTGTATGTAAGGAAAACAGACTTTCAGTGAAGATCTGACCCAGAGACAGGAGAGCAGTTTTCCTGTAAAAGGTGTTCTTTCATTACAAAGACTGTTGTAACCTATGATACATTTTATGATATATTTTCTTTCCAAGGAAGTTTTTTCAATCTCACTGAGCATGCTGAAGCCATTATATAGTTACTAGAGATGTTTTGTCCAGAAGAAATTACTATAGGTTACAGTTCTGCAGGAGATTAAAATTGATGTATTAGTAGATATCCTTCTAAAAATACTCTTTTAAGTAATATGTATCTGCATCTCCCCAAACCTAGAAGAATATACAAAACAGCAAAGGAAATACAGCAGATAACTGAGAGCAAATAACATGTAACAATGAGAACTTTTACCACTGTGTTTATTTAAATGAAGGGTAATGTCAAAATGTGAAAGCAAAGCACTTCAGTTTATTCACATATTTTACATTCAAAGGACCCACAGAATTTTTTTTTTTTTTCAGAAAAATAGAATCTTCTTGGGGATTTTAAAAATTTGACAGAGACATGGAATATACTTAATGAAACATGTCGGTGCAGTGCATGGAATGAAAACCTTGTATATATGGGAAAAAGATAAAACTGAAACAAAATTGACTATTACTAAAAAAAGGTTTCCTTTAATATAAATAAAATTCAGAGTAGTGCTTTATTTTAACAGACAACACAACACTGGGATTTATTAACAACTACATATTTACAGTGCCTCACTGGTAAAAATACTGGGCTTCATCTGAGATCCTAGACACTTCCTGAGAAGGCAATGTGGGCACGAGATTGCTCAGCACTTCACATAAGCTAAGTGCTAGAAGGGTGAAATTAAAGCATACTTTTGAAATAGGTAAGATGGCATAGGTGGAACTGTTGATTCATTGTGTTTATGCCCTGATCTGCCAAGGCTTGCACCTCGAGTACTCCCTTTGGTTTCAGTAGATCTCTGTGTACTCCTAGGTTTAAGCACAGGATGTTTCAAAACCAGGAGCCTCAGAACCTCAGAAGAAGACAACTGCTTGACTCAAAGATGCTATGAGTAGCAAAAACTATTGCAATTACATTTTGACATGGTACAGAGGCACACTACCTCGAATTTAAATCTGTATTCTTCTGCATGGATGATTTCTCCCACTTTTGTTTAAAATTTGGTCCTATGAGGTCTGGATTCCAAATATCTCTATGAAGTGACAAACCTGTGAAAGCATCTTCTTCCCACAGCCTCCAAAATCATAGTGCCAGTTTAGCAGATCTCAGTCTTTTTGGCAATTAAATAAAACATGAACCAGATCTTTTTCAAAGTATTCACAAAATAATCTTGCACTTATAAAGTGGCTGTCCCACCATTCTTGTATCAGATCTGACCTCAGCTCTTTAGATCTAAACAGTTCTTTAGAAGTTATAAAAATAAAGGGTTGATTAATATACAAATATATATTTCAGAGTGATAAGAGAATAATATTAAACAAATTCCTTTTTTAATCTACTTTAAATTAAAGAAATGTTTTCAAAAGTCTAGGCTGAAGCAGATCTTTATCTATTGACTCTTTAATGGAACCCATTCCCTGCAGATGGCCACATACAACTAAATATAAGAAGCTCATTACTACAAAAGGATAGTGAACAAGTTTCCACTAGCAAAGCAATTCATAAAATTTGCTGTGCAAGTTGTTTTTTTGTATCTTGCTTTCAAGAACTGCAGATATTTTTAATATGAGAAACAAAGCCTCAGTCATGAAGTCTTGAGCTTCTTTAGAAATTTGCTTCTTTCCCTGGTCTTCATTAATATTTGTTTTGCAATAATCCAGTTTGTTTTGTACACTGTTTGTATACAGCAGAATATAAATGTTCTGCATGAATGCACATGTATGTACAAAACCAGTCTAATTCAGTCAAGAGATATGCCTGTTCACTGGGTCATTTCATACTTTCACAATACCATATTTTGCTGTAATATCCATAACAACATCATGTAGGTTGCTCCTTTCTTCCACTGAGATTCTTATTGGTGTTTTCCTTCCATTTATCTCAAGCAGCCGAAACAGCAAGGAACATTTTTGAACAATCTATAATACTCCTCCTGAATCTGAAATAAAAAATATTGAATTCAAATATTGAATAGATTTATTAATAGGTCTATATTTTTTAAAACTCATTTTATACTGCTCCTGTCACTAGGTGTTTTAAGGTGGGGCTGATTTTGACTTTAGGACAGAATACTGAAGAAAGTATCATCCCATGGTAGTGTGGGTGAATCCTGCTGCTTATTGGAAAGACTGGAAGTGAGTTTTATTGCACATATTGCATTATTTCTTCAGGTCAATGGCACTATAACTAGTTTTACAAATTAGAAAAAAAACATTTCCCATGTTTCATACATTGGTTTTAAAATGGAAGAAATATATGAGAAGGTAGAAATTGGGCAGAGGTTCTGTCACCATTCAAGGCAACAGCAAAATTTCCCATCCTCCCTCCTCTTCTGCATCAATGGCACAAAGATCTCATCCCTTGCTCTGCCAAAAACATTGGCACACAGCACAATTTCAGGGCTGGGCACCTGACTGTGTAGGTACACGAGACTGCCTGAGTCACTTCCCACAAGGACCAGGACACTTACCTTCCTAGACAACACACAAAGAAATATGAAGATGAACATCCCCTGGAATGCATTGAAGATTGTAAAAAGATATGCAGTAACTACGGATCCCTGGACGACATGGAGGACCCCAAAGATCCAGGTAGCCCCAAGGAGGAACAGGAGAGCAAGAGCACCTCGGGCACAGGATCTAGACAGGAAAGAAACACTGTGAACAACATGTGGGCACATGCCACTTCCTTTCCTTCTCCACGTTGAGTGGTGAAAGCTGTCTCAGAAATTTTTTCACAGCTGCAAAGGCCTGAGAGGTGCAAGTGCATGGGCTGCTCTTCAGGGTGTGCTGTAGCACCATGGCATGAATAACCTCACATAATCACTTCAGAAGAGCTAAGGAGTAAAACTGGAGGCCTTAAAACACTGGCTTCTTTAATCTTCAGATGTGTTTTCTCTGGTGTACTGCAGCACCATATGATTTGATTTAAATCTACTGTTAGTGTAATTCCCCAAGGAAAAACATATGTCTGTTATGAAGCATTCCCCCACTTTTCCTCCTCCCCCTTATCTTCCTCAAAAAAAAACCCCAACAAAAACCAGAAAAATGTACAGTATGCTCTTAGGTCAGTGCATGTGCATGACATCAAAGGATTCCCAGGCTGCCTCTCAGGTTCACTGCAGAGGACGGTGCCAGTTGTAAAACCAGACTTTCTTTCTCTTTAAAAAAATAATTTTGTTTTAGAACACAAATACTCTCAAATAGTTCCTGGGTCAGCATATTTATGATTTAAAATTGTAGGAACTGATTTGCTATGATTTTTTTTCCCCAAGATGCTGTAGAGCACTGTTCACAGACTCGAACAAATTACAGCATGTTGTCTTGGAAATGAAGCCACTGATTACTTTCTTATTCATTCTCAACTCAGTCATTGCAGAACTTCCTTTGAACAGCAGACATTTTTAGCACTGTTCCCCTAAAAAGGAATAATTTTCAACTTCATTAGAACCAGGTCACCACATGAAGCTATGAAGGGTGAGGAATAAGAGAAAGTAATCAATCAAACAATTGCTAAATCCTAACTATAAATCTAGCACAATACATTGAAACTGCAGGAGTGTTCCTAAGCAACACAAACAGTAAGTTGTTTTCAATGTTCCCTGTAGTACACTTCAGCTTTTCCTGCACAAACGGTTTTCAAGGTCCCTATAAATCAGTTTTAAAGAGAGTGAGTTGATGGAAAAATCATAGCAGCATGCAAAGTGAAGTCCTGGAGAGAATCTGCTCCAAACCTTCCCCAGTGCTACAGACACACACCATCCTACTGTAGACTTTTTCCAAATAACATGAATGACTCAAATCTCTTATCACTGAATTACTTGTTACTTCAAGGCAAATATTTTGGTTTCATTTCAGACTTCAGTTTTGAAATCTGTTTTGGCTTGCACAGAGGCTGTGGAAAGTACTTAATTAAAAAGGAAAATTTCTTCTTTTACCTTGCTATCAGCCTTTATCTCTGGTTGATATGTGCCACTAATATTCCTTTTACACTTTTTGCCCTGTCCCCCTCCCCCCAGCATTACTGTACAAGGTATTGCTCAATGGGAATGATGACTGCAAAATTTACTGCCAAATATATATGAGGGATTAACAGAAAAAAAGCATAAATCAAAAAAATCTTTCTTTTTGTAGAACTCTTTCAGGAGATTATACTGTTATTTTTGAATACTTACCACCATCTCTGTCTGTATTTAAACTTACTAAAGGTAGAATTTGTATTAAATGGCAAACTTACCTTATATTTTCATAACAACTAACTTCTGGCTTTAACATTGCAGTGTGTCGAAATACTTTATAAATAATCACTCCAAAAGCCAACAAATTAACCTGGGGGAGTGAAGAAAGGAACTTTTAGTTCAAACCAGGATGCTTTTGAATGTCAATAACTGTTAAACATTTAAATGAAACAAGTCAGGTAAAGTTTCTGTGTATGTGAAAACTACAGAATCCAGTGCCGGAAAGGGTAAAACCCCACCCTGTTCTGCTCCCCTTCTATTAAAAAACATGAGCTCTACTCTAAACACCTATCAAACAAAGTTGTAACTCTACATTATCTCAACAGTATCACTACCAACAGTCTGCAAATGTCGTATTGATTGGAAAGGAAAGGAAAGGAAAGGAAAGGAAAGGAAAGGAAAGGAAAGGAAAGGAAAGGAAAGGAAAGGAAAGGAAAGGAAAGGAAAGGAAAGGAAAGGAAAGGAAAGGAAAGGAAAGGAAAGGAAAGGAAAGGAAAGGAAAGGAAAGGAAAGGAAAGGAAAGGAAAGGAAAGGAAAGGAAAGGAAAGGAAAGGAAAGGAAAGGAAAGGAAAGGGAAAGGAAAGGAAAGGAAAGGAGAAAACAGGAGTGGAGAAAACCAAAAAGCCCCTTGTCCCCATGGGTTTTCTACTGTACTGTATCACTTAGATCTTGACAAATGCGTGTCTTTTGTTGCTGAATAACATTAATAACATCATATGTTCTGAGGTCTTTGGAGCGCGAAAACTTTCAAGAGGCACAAAAAACTTTGAGGTTTACACAAAGAATTTTTAAAAATCTAACCTTGGTTGAAAGACTTCTTGCTGCGTATCCTCTCATATTTTTCATGTTTGTTTCATAGATGAATAATTTTGGTATTTTTATTTGAGTTTGAAACAGAGAGCAACTAAAGGAAGCAGCATTGCAAATGATGCTCAATTATGGTTCTGAACCTCTGTTTGCTCAGCTAGGCTTCACTGATCTTTGATTTCAATTTATATTGCATTCCTTAAAAAATGTGGATGGTTTCTTTCTTGCTTTTTAAAACAAATTGTATTTTGCTTTGCAGCATTTAATATCAGAATCTATTTAAAATGTTAGCAAATGAACCAAATTTTTGCCGGTCATCATCCAGACACTATTTGTAGATCCTTTGTTGTAATCTCTTGGTTGGTTCCTGTGGGCTTCCAGCTGTAGGCTGAATGGAATTAATGCCTTCCCCAACTTGTTTCTCTAGAAAGATTGTATGTTTTTTCTTCCCACTATTTTTTCTTTTAGAAAACAACCACAAAAAACCCCTCAGCAATGAAAACAAAAGGCTGCTGTAGGAGCACAGCATCGCTTTAAAAGGAATCACTTTCATTTGTTAACACTCGTTAGGTATGTCTTTAGAACATTTTTGTTGTGTCAAGGGGGAAGTATCTGATATTAAAGCAGGCTCTGCTTTAATTAGCTGCATGCTCATACTTTAATACAGCATAATATATTTACAATTTGATAAGACAGGAGATAGAGCTGATTAGCAGTTTAGGGAATTAATCCTTAACAGAATACCTTGTACTTGCACTGATCGTGAGAGCTATTCTGAAGCTCCTTATATTTAAAATTGTAATCTATGATATCTCCTAAACCAGCAATTTTTCAAAGTTAATTATAAGTCAGTCAGCAGTTGTGGATAATTATATGCATACTTACTTTTTATCTTATATTTGTTGGTGAATAATATATCAAATAACTTAGTGCGCATACTGTAATCTGCATAACCCACCTAATGTACTTATTAATCTGAAAAAGGTAGCAGGAAATGTGATCAAAGTCCCATGAGCATGGAGAATACACATTGCTACTTCTTCAGAAACTGCAATTGAGATTGCAGCACAAACCCCACGGCCAACCTTCCCTTCTGCCAGCCTCACCATGATCACTAATGTCAATGAATGCCTTCCTATTGCCAGTAACACGTTCTGTGAAAAGCTCTAGGGGCCAAACCTGCTTAATTCTTTGGCCAAATAAACAGCTGCAGAACTGGTGAGGTTTTGCTGAGCAAGAATGGGGTGGGCAGTGGGCTCCATTTCTCTTTGTCCCACTGGGGCTCCTTTACACAAATACTATTTGCACTGTCCGTTGCACAGGATAATAGGATTTGGCCCTCTGCATTAAAGTAATACCCATTAACTATGATCTTTTCATTCATCAATCCATTCTAGTGGGAATAATCTGTATGTATCAGGGGAACAGGAGAGGTTAACACTGGCTTCTCAGAGTCAGCTGCCTGAACACAATTATTGTACAATACGTCTCAGGTAGCCTCACAGGAGGTAGTGTTACAGGGTAATGAGAGTGAGCTTAACTTCTGAAATACTCAGTCATTTCCAAGATTTATTAAAGTCTTAAGTCAGTTTTTGCCCCATTTTTAAGCACTCCATTAATAAAAAAATATCTATAGCAAAGTGAAAGTGCAGACTGCCTTTACACAGTGTTCAGTGCCTCAAACCAGTAGTTTTTAGGCAACATAGCTTTTTTTTTTCCCCTTTCAATCTAAGTTAGAGGTCTCTGGAACTGCATTTTTTCCTCTGAGGGAGGGTAAAATGGGTAACAACTAAGTAGTTTTAACTGTCCTGTGACATAAAAATGCAGCAAAACTTGAGGGAAAACAATAACATGAACTCATGGGTAAATCCAGAGGAAAAGCTGGCTAATATTAATAATGTGGCAAGTGTGGCCTTTAGAGAGAACTGGTAATGCAAAGGTATCCTAAACTTAACGTATTCTTCTTCCACCTGATACTCTGCATGTTCTTTGCCATGAACATACCAGTAGCCTCAGCTATTTATGGGAAATGTAAAATAAAAAGTTTGTATTGGATGGCTAGACTGAGTAGGAATACTGAGAAGTTGGACTTGGCTGCACTAAAGGGGAAATATAAGCGATGCCCCCAAAGAGCCATATGTATTCCAACAAATGGAATGGGAAATCAAATCACCTAAAATGCCTGGCCAAAGATACAAGCACTTAAGACATTTGAATTTGTATCCAAAAGTGAGATTCAAATGAGCAGAAATTGAGGTAGTAGGCTGGAAAAGTAGATTTACTGATAGACACAAGGAATCCTGGATCTCCAGATTTTCCTTCCATCTGGGACAAGCCAAGGGCCTTCTGATTGAGAGACACTAAAACATCAAAAAGGTTGCAGCTGCTACTTGCAGCCAAATATTGTTTTATACTTACTTCGGTTGTAATCGTGTGTTTTCATTTTTGTAATTAAAGCACAATCTTCAGATCTTGTTGAATAAACCTTCAATGACATTATAATTAAGGCTGCCTTAAGGTGACAGGCAAGGTGAATGAGAACGAAATGGCAAACATAAGGCATGCTGTCTCCAGAGAGGGAGCAAGTTGGAGCAGAGCAAGATGTGCAGGCAACTGTGAAACTGAGCTCAGGACAGGCATTGCACAAGGCTGGAAAGGGCCAGCTTGGGGATGGCTGCTGCCACACGTGGCTTTGGGGAGAAGTTTCTTGTATAATGAGCAGAGTTACTCTGCAGCTTTGGGCAAACTGAAAGCATGAAATGTTGTGGCATGGCCACAGTTTTATCAAGTGAATAATGATGTTTCAGTGTGACATGGCAAGTTCTTGTGCCTTTGTCTTCAGTGTTATTACATGGCTGAGCAGTCAGTGAAACTACTGCATGTCCTGAGAGGGCTTCTCAGCAAGTCTAATAGGCTAAAGGGGAATTGCATTGATTCCAAGCCCAGAACTGAAGTGGTTTTTTTTCACATTTTATTTATTTAACAAACCACCCCAAACTGCTATTGGGCAAACAATACTACTTCACAGAGGAACCCTCTGACTTTCTCCCTGCCAGCCCAATTCTGTGAGGTGCTCAGCACTGTCTCCTCTGCAATTCAGTGGGAATCATGTTTTACTCATCATGCTCAGGTTCACTATAGGACTAATTTTAATAACCTATTCCTTTTTTTTTTTTTTTTGTAAGTGGTTAATCAAAGACAAGGTCTGATGTAGGAACAGCCTTTCTCACAGCATCTTCAGAGAATCATCCCTTCTTAAAGATATTTGTAAGTGTTTTTAGCTTCTGTAAATTATAGAAATGTTATGGTATAGTTATGAAAAAGTGGAAAACTTCAAATATATTTCTGTAAAATAGACATTGAATAAGAGCAATTATTAGCATCCCATGAAGTAAGTAGATATGGGCAACTAGATTTATGTATCTGTATAACCCTAGGCAGTCTCTAAGGAGCCACAAGTCTGGATGAGCCAGGTTTTATTGTACAGCCATGACTGAGTTTAAAGGTAGGATGATAAGTGTATGGTACATCTCTCTTGGTTAGATCACCTATGCAAAGAGTCAGAAGGATTTTGGACTACGGAGTGACTTCTTGCCCCTTAAAACCAATGGCAGAACTCCTGTTAAATAGCAAAACTCCCATTGCCACACCACCATTGTCAAGGCTTTACCACTACACACCATAGAGAGTGGCAGTCTCAAGAGATTCACGGGCAACGGTGGACGTTGCTGCACATTTCACTCTGAAGATTAGCACTTGCATATATCATGGATGCACACTGTGGTATAGAGCAGGACAGTGAAATTTTCCTGCACGTGTTTTGGGGATCACCACAGTACAGTTCCCATGTTCTGAACTGATGTTGGTGGGTAAGATCTGGTAGCCTCACAAGGAAGGGGTGCAAGTCCTAGGATCAGATTTTACCCACAGCATTGATCTGGATAATTTCCTCTTGTAGGAGAGAAAAAGCAATTGACAATTCGAAGAAATTTCCTGGTGCTTTCCTAATCATATTGTCAACAATAGGGAGGCTTTGCCAAAGGAGTTAGCCTGGGGGCCCCTGTTCAATCAATCATATGTATTTTAGAATAGGATGGGAAAAGCTGTGTGTGGAGTTAACCTACCTCTACCTACAGCTAGGATGGCTCTGGAAATCTGTTTGCAGATTTTCATCCCTCCCTCTGTCTCCCTACTACCATGGCTACCAGAACAGGGTGCTTTTGCACAGGCTTCTGCAAGGAAGGAAAACTGCCCAATGGTGGGCATGGGTGGGCAAGGTACTGC